TCGCCGCCAAGTCCAGTGACCTGCGCGCCGCGCCGCTTGCCGCGCGCCACAAACATGGAGGAGTCTTGTGTCGTATTCCCGCGCAAATTGCTCAAAAAAATGATATCTATGTACAGGGAGCATCCTTGTTTATGGAATAAGAATTGCGTTTCGTATAAATTGAAACAGAAAAGGTATGAAGCGATATCGAAGCTGACTCAGTTGGTGCAAGAGCACGAGCCGAGCGCGACGCGTGTGCACGTGTTGCGTAAGATTGAGAGCTTGCGCGCGTGCGTGCGGCGGGAGCACAAGCGCGTCCGAGACAGCCGTATCCGTGTCGCGGCCGGCGGTACCGACGGCATATACAAACCGATGCTTTGGTACTACGACTTGTTCTCCTTTGTGTTCACCGATGACGAAACGGATGATGAAATTTACCAGAAAGCACAGACCGTACACGAGAACGAGGTGAAAACTTTTGTTTTGTTATTGTAACAAAACACACAAACTTATACATTTATTAATGTTGGGTCCAGTTTCGGACGCAACATTTAATATGGAATTTAGCAGAACATAATTTTAGGTGTTAGCGGGAAATAGAAGGGTTGGGGGTTGGGGGAGACGGCACACAACTGTACAGTACGGGCTTGAAGGGCTGCTCGACTTCGTGTCTCTGTGCGTTTAGATAGTCTGTACAATGCATAGCACATTTTTACAATCATCACATTTCTGTTTATGTACAGTTAAGCTTAAAATTTATAGTTTATTTTATTTATCTATATGTATTTAATATTTTACCTCCAAATGGTGGGTACATTAATCGTTTTTACCAAAAGAATAGTTTTTGTTAGTTGTTTAAAAATTGGATGCTATTATTCACACTTCCGTAACAAAATTAAACGTTGCGTTGTTTTTTGACTTGACTGTACTTCTTCGTCCGCAGGTGACCTTGAGTTGTCAAAAAGGTCGAAACGGTCACTAGACAGGAACGATTAATGGGAACTCCTGTGTTAGGTTAGAGTTTTGCATTTTCACTGCGGTGAATAAACAATATGTAACCTTTTTAGCGACTCAAGGTCACTGTTCGTTGCGCAGTGCTCTCCCCCCGCTTCTCTACCCTCCGCTACACCTAAAATTGTATTCTGCGCAGCGAATCATGCGATGTCCCTAGTTCACAAGACGCTTGAAGCCAAGATGATAGCAAAAGCGCTTTTATGACGTTTGAGACAAAAGTGAAACAAACTCTTTAGGGATAAATTAATAAAACAATTCAATGTTTAATGTTTAATACAATTTTATCGTTATGTGTTTGACATTATTTCTAAGTAACAGTACAGCTAAAGTGAGCTAAGAAGCCACAACAAATTAATTAAATGAAAGTTCAAGGAATACAGTCGTTGTAGGGTTGCCTTCTTCAGAACAAACTTGTATTACTTCCGTTCAAAGAATAATTTTTAATTTGTACTCATTTTAAAATAGGAATTAAAATGATGTTAGAATGTTTGTCTTGTCAAAGTCTAACAGTCGAGCGCAATAATCGATTTTAAAGATCGATCCGAATATTGTGTTAATTATTTGCTTTAAGATGGATCGCCATCTAAAGATAGCTGAGTTTTTTCTATTGCAGGCTATGTTAGTTTAACTTGAAGCTATTTATAGTCTAGATTACCAATGATTTGTGGTTGATTATTGGATTTCTTAGTAGACTTCTCCGTTCAGAACTCGGAAGACGGTGTCAACGATGGCGATGAAGGTCAGCAATTCGAGCAGTCGATGGAGACCTACCCTGAGTACAGCGTCAGCAATATGGTGAACGTGGAGGACCACAAGAGGTATCAGCTCGCGAACTTCGAAGACGACAGCAAGAACAGCAAACGACACTGTACCGAGATAGAAGATGAATATGACGCTATAGGTACTCCTCTTTTTATAGTAAACTAGCTTCTCCCGCGACTCCGTTCGTGTAGAATTAAAAAAACAAAAGTAGCCTATGTGTTTTTCCAAACTATACTCTACATCTATACTAAATTTCATCGAAATCCGTTCAACCGTTTAGGCTACAAACTCTAACAAACATCCATTCATCTAAACAAAATACCGAATTTAAAATTAGAAGTAAAAAAAAATGTGAGAAAGGTATTTTGAATTACGTATTATTATATTTGAATTGTGATATTGAATGTTTGTTTGTATAAATAAGTAAATGAATAAATAAATAAATAAATAAATAAATAAATAGATGAATGAATGAATGAATGGATGGATGGATGGATGGATGGATGGATGGATGGATGGATGGATGGATGGATGGATGGATGGATGGATGAATGAATGAATTAATGAATTAATGAATGAATGAATTAATTAATTAATTAATGAATGAATGAATGAATGAATGAATGCATGAGTGAATGAATGAATGAATGAATGAATGAATGAATGAATGAATGAATAAATAAATAATCTTTCGCATTTATAATATTAGTATGAAGTATGATATGCAAAAGAGCTAGGCTAGCGCTTATCGAATTTCTTTCTTCTAGAATAGACCATAATAGAGCATTTTCTACACTTGAAAAGACCCTTGCAAGACTTTTTTTATTGTTTTTTTAAAATAATTATTCTATAGTATAAATTACAGATAGCAGCTATTATACCGTGCTGCGTAAATTATGTCTGTAACAACACTCTAAAGGTCAATGAAACAAACAATTATTTTTCTTCAACAGCTCGCTAGGGAATGGAAATTTATTAAAAAACTAAACACAAAAAATTAACTACACCATCGAGAAAAAATTACTTGTTTAAAAAAACGTATGCAAAGCTTTTCTTTCTTTCATAAACTCTTCCCGCTTTTCTGCTAGTAACAAAACTGGCAACATTAGTTGATGTACAAATATCAATAGATGGCGGTAGTCGCATCATATTTAATTACGTTTGATAATTTCATTAATTCTGACATTTGATGTGTTTTTCTTTAGGTATCAATGTAGCGGCAAAGTTAAGGAGCCTTCCTACAAATATGCGGATATTGGCTGAAAAGTTGATCAACGATGCGCTTTACCAAGCTCAAATGAATGGTCTCAATTCTTCCTCAGTCATCACCACTACTGACCCCTTTAATCAAGTCATCATATAACAATATTACGAGATTTTAACCAAAAATACTTGTCAACTGTAGACCAGTTGAGTTATTTGAAAGATTCTCTAATGCGCCAATTTTGAAGACGAGAACTTTTAAATTCAGCAATTAAAATGTTCATATTTACTGGCAAATGTCGGTAGATGGCGTTGTAAAGAGAAATGTACTTACATTTGTAGCATTCTTCACTTGAAGTCAAAGGTTTTTGTTACTTTTTATTTATTGTGGTATTTACTACTTAAGTGTTATTTTTTATGTGATTCTTGTAAGTGAAGATAAATAGTGTATATTAAGACTGTCGATACTAAATAGTTTGAAGTAAAATGAATTATATTTCGATAGACTAACCAAGAAATAAAAAAATCTTTGTTAAATCTCTTGTGCTACGTCATGTAGTTTTATATTTTTCCTCAATACAGATTTTATGTTCCTGATTAAAATATAATTAATATTATTTCTTTTAAATACAATGAGGAATATGTCATGTTTGTGTGTACAGTGGAAACCAACGGTTAGGGATATAAAAACTTCAATATAATATCACAAATATATTTTATTATATTATTGTACATACGTTTACATAACACAAACGAAGTGGAACAATCACTCAAAAATATTGGTAGAAGCTGTAAAACATCCCAATAAGGATAACCAATTTAATACTCAAAACAGTGTAAAAGCAAAATACATTAAGTAAAATTATTAAAGTTTTGCCTATATTATATTATTTTATCATAACAAAATTGTATATTTTGTCTCCAATAAAAGCAGATAACCAAATTTTATTCCAATTGTAAAGAATAATGAAATTTTAAATCTATAGTAATCTGTTAAAATGTCGGGAGATAAAAATGTTGCAAGCACAAAAAAATCTATTCACGGTCTGGGGGCAGTTATTGGTAATGTCTCTAGGAGGGGGCTTCAAATATTCTTACCGATGACGTCTATGGCTGCGGGCTAACGTACTTAAATAAATATTGAAAGGCTTTTTTAATAACATTTAAATGTCACGATAAAATAATACAATTCTAGCATTTAAATAAACGACCAAAGCAAATCCATTCGGCCTTAACAATACTTTTGGTACAAAACAACACTTCATCATTTACAATTAAAATTACTTAGAATTAAGGTTATGTTTAAAAAACCACTACTTGATAAATATCGTGATTCTTAGACCTGGAGTATGTTAAAAAATTCAACCTTTTAATGGTTTGAAACATTTTTTTACATATGGCCAGATCGATGGATGACATTTTTTTAAGTAGAATTTAATACAAATTATGCATTGTATAGAAATATTTTTGATGGTTTTAACCATGGTAAAATTATCACTAAATTGTGAATAATTTTCTGTATTAGTTTTGTTAATAAATAAGTAGTTTAATAATTAATTAAATAAGTAATTATTAAACTACTAATTTAATTAAATAAGTAATTTAATAAGTAGTAGTTTTTCATCTTAATTTTGACAGTTATCAGCCAGTATGTCTGTTAAATAAAAAACAAAATTAGTTACATTTGTGCGTAGTTATGATACATTTTTATAACCATCAAAACCATTTCTTTATTTAAGTTTTCAAGATAAATAAATGTTTTAAACACATTTATTGCCTTTTTATTTTTCTTAAAAACACATTTTTATTTAATAATATTACATCCAAAATCGCTTTATTTAAATTATTGCTTTTTAAATTGCTAAAGTTGAAAATGATATGAAATAAATATCGATTTTAACTTCATCGTAATAGTGTTTTTATTAAGAGAATTATCAAATATAATACAAAGCCACATTAATTTGTTACAAATATATACAAAAATGATATCTATATTTTGTAACAATGTTGGTAAATTGTAAAATATTTGCACAAAATATTTGGTATAAATGAACACATTGTGATGTCCCGCTGTTAATTTAGATTCAAAATTAACTAGGTTATGCGTTTCTTTTACGGTCGAACCCAATATCCAAACTTAGATCGAAGAATTATTTCTAGGTTGACAACAGATCGCTGTCTATTAAGTATCTTTCGATTGCAATTGATATCCTTAGATCGGTTTAATTACAAGCAAAGATTATCCGAGATCGATTATTGGGTAAGACCGTTAATATTTATATTTATTATAATATTTATTATATTAATAAGCAGAAAATTAAAGATATTTTTTAGTTCCAAAGATGACTAAATGAATTTCATTTTTGTTACTTAAATATAGCTACTTAAATAATTCTTTAACTTAAATGTTGATGTTCGATACTACGTTCGTTCTAAGATCGCTTAACTTTATTGGTCAAATACGTTTTTAATTTTTTTTTTAAATAAACTGCCTAAATTATTTCAATCTATTCGCATTTTTTTCTGATATGTTTGAATGTTATTTGAACAGACTTTATATTGTTTTTTTTGTCCTGATATTTGATTTAAATTACATCGGAATATTTTATTCGTTTAATTTTATTCTATTCTTAATAAAAATGTTTAAAAACATGGCATTGTAGTCAATATATACATGCATATTGTCGTCGAATTACGTCACTAAATAACTTTTTAATTTATGTGTTTAAAAGATAAAAGTTGGAGCCAAATTTTTACAGCATAGTGAAGTAAGTTTTTAAATACAATTTTTCATGAAAAGATTTCAATGCACACGATATATTGTAACGTTTTTTTAACGGCAGAAAAAAATTGAAATCATTACAAAAGTAGTACCAGGTGCAAGCTATAGATTGAAAAAATAGAAAAAAAAATTGCATCATAGCAATTTTGGTCAAACAATAAAATTGGAAAGTCCATTTAATTTAAAATTGAAACAAAATAACATCAAAATTAGCTTTTTAAAAGTTTTTTTACACGTGTGATACAAACATAATTTTATTCGATATGTGAATATTAAAATTTTCCATTTAAATTAGACTCACATTTATAATACCTGGTTTTTTAATACATATGTCGTTTTTGGTGTTACCATATTAAAATTTTTAATTTACTAAATTATTCCTAATACGCAACCTTAGAGCAGTCTCATTGTGAATTATTTGGTTGAAGGCTGCTCCATTCACATCAATTTTCTACTCTAATACTAATTAAGTGTTACCTGTGAATAAAGTGTTTAATATTATTAATAGTAAAACTAAGAACTATTAAAATTGAGTCGATTATCGTAAATGAGCGACAGACCTACAATGTTGATGAAATTTGAAGTCTAATCAACGGCAATATTAAAGGGGAATACATTTAAAAAATCTATTTGATAATAAAATTTATTAGAACAAAGACAATTCAAATTAAATATGTATAAATAATTCAATTGATTTGAAATACGAGTAAGAGCGAGTGCATTTGACTAAACTATCGCATAACTTAATTCACGCTTTGATTCCTTAAGAGCTTATAGGTACACTACTCGATTGTTAGTTCTTCAACAACAGTCGAATTGCATGAGAAACAATTGACAATCACACACCAGTTGTGCGATAGTTTAGTCAAAAGTGTGCGTTCGTTCTTGAACTATGGGTCGACCAATCAGGTTTTTGTTGTCCACATAATTCTATCATACGTCATCTCAGTATCACTTGTTGATCATGTCACCTTTCATGCAATACATCCATCTCTTACATACGATTCATCTCTCCTCATAGCATACCCATACCATCTTCTTCCCTCTCCGACTAGCGAAGGTTGGCGGTCAGTTCTCTAAATTTGACCTTATCTCATGCGAGGCGAAACAGTTGGGCGGCATTCGCAATTCCTGACCACTCTCGGATGTTGCGTAATCACGATTTCTTTCGACGACCAACACTCCTTTTGCCGGCAACTTTTCCCATCAAGATGACTTGGAGATCATATCTGCCATACCCATACCATGCTAACCTTTTACTCCTTACCTTCTTCCACTGAGGCTACTCTCAAACTTCCTCGCCATATACATACATATACTTAATATAATTAGTATTCTATTACTATCTACATTGTTTAAAATATAAAGAATAGTTGAGTCGTTGTATACTAACTCAGCACATGGTCTCGGGGCGCGCGTGCGCTGGCGGCGCGTGCGGCGCGGGCGGCCGCTCGGCGGAGCGCTGCCGCGGCAACTGCGACGAGTCCAGCACTATGGACGGCCGCGGCGGCAAGTTCTCACTCACCATGTGAGACAGAGATATGTCGCTTGATGCGTTTGTCTCACCTAAATATATAGATGACAATAGATAACACCTTAGATATATTAGCTGTCATATAGCTACACATAGATCTCGGAAACGTAAGTGGTAGAACCCGTATTTTTTATCTTCGCAATGTGGAGCTCACCTAATGCAATAAATGACAGGCGTGAAGTGTACAATCGTAAAGTGATGTATAAGATTTTACAGGTACAACAGGGATAATATACCTGAAGGTTGCCTGGGCACCGGCAGCAGCACCTCTCCGCAACTATCATCACCCAACAGCGGCTGCAGTGGCGAGGGCAACTCGCGGCTGTCAATTGCCGAAGACCGACGAAGGGAATGCCTGGCAGCAGTTAGAAATAACAAGTAATGCATGTCTTGCACGTATAAGGATTAAACAGTTTATTAAGTTTTCCAGACGAATCTGTCTATTCATATAATAGGTTTAGTTTTTGAAAATGCCATTCGGTCTAAAAACCTCACCTCTGATGTACCAGCCGGCGGTCAGCGACAGTCAGCAGCTGCGAGTTCTGCGGCGGCTCCTCGTTGTTGACGCACACGCTGATACTAACTGCCGTCACCTCCCCCCCCGGCCCCGACACCTCACCTCCTGCGCTCCCCTCACCCGCCTCCTCCTCCTCGTATCTGCCCAGGTAACACTCCATTTCTATGCTACAGTCGATATGCACGCCTTAAGTTATTTTTTTACGTTAGCAATCGAAGGACGGACTTCCCGTGAGTTCAGAAATATTTTTTTTTTAAGGATTAGCCAACGTTAGTATTAGTCGAATTAGAGTAGAATAATGGGATAAACTTTAATTTGTGTTTAATTCATGATCGTGGACGTCAAAAACTATACACTTAAGAAAAGATCTTACCGGCGCTGTATGAGGTTCTCCATAATGATGTAGTCGTCCTCCTCTGCACCACGGAGGTGCTCCTTCTCCATGAAGAGGGCGAACTCCGGGTTGGACATTTCGCTGGCGTGGCGGCGCCGCAGGGAAGGGGACGCCGCGCGCGCCGGAGACAGGAGACGTGATGTTATTGGAGTCCTGAGATAACAAGAATACATCAGTCTATACTCAAATACAGAAACAGTTGGCACATACAGAATTAAAAGGAATACCTTGGTGTATGAGGAGGAGAGAATAAGCCGTAGACAGTCTCCAACTCGTCCGTGATGCTGGTGTACTCGTGCATGGCGAGCAGCAGGGAGCGAGGTGCGCCGCCAACACGAGTGCGACCTGACGACATCCCACCTGCACCACCCGTCGCTTCCCACCCGGACTGACGGCCTGATAGTCATTCAAATATTTGTACATAGAAATATACAAAGGTACAAGCAACAATCGATTTACAAGCTTCTATAAGGTATAGATCAGTAAGAGTGCGCGCACACTTGAATAACAACTGTTTAGTCTCGCTTTGATTCCTATGCGTACATTACTCTATTTTTAGTTGTGCAACTACACAGTTGAATTGGTTGCGAAACAATCGACAATCGCACAACAGTTGTGCGATTGTTTAGTCAAAGTTATGCGCCCTTTATAAGCCTAAAGAACATTCTCTTGGTTCCTTCGCAATCATCGATCGTCTTGCCTTTTGTTTCGATGATTTCTATCAACGTCAAGGCAACAATCGAAGAAACTCTAATCAGCATGTTCTAAATTAGATATGAAAATATTATACCAGTGTTTTCTTACCAGTAACAGAATTATGTAAAGAACAAGCATCGACTGCAGAGTTGTCCGGCTCGGAGTGTGTCTGGCTGTGCTGTCTCCGGGGCGCCAGGTGCTGTGCAGAATGATGCCCGCCCACGCCACAGTCGTTACCACCTTCCGATCGTCTGCCACCACAGTAATTTGTTCAAATATTTACCTAAACGAGACGTCTTTACCTCCTAAATCCAAGTGCTTCTTGTATCTTAAGGTTAAGACGGTCCTCTGTGCTAATTTTTGATAAGTTCCCTATTATTATTCTAAACATTCAATTCAACAGTTCAGTGTGTTTGTTGACTACCCTACTTTTAGATTTTAATACTAAACTATTTAAACTACAACTGAGAAAGATTAAGTAAGTACTTTATAATTGTAAATCATGTCTTGGTTATTATCAATAATTAAAAGAAGAAAGATTCATAACATAGAATATTTTAATACGAATTTTTGACTATTTACAAATACGTACAAAAGTCGATAACAAATACAACGTAAATGTGCTTTTATTAGTGTAATACATAGTTATAAATACTGAAGTAAAAAAGAGTGTTAACTTAATAAGGAAGAAAGTGTTTTAAATGACCAATAGTTATACAAAAATTGTGACTTAAGAGTATGCTTTCAGTACATAAATATAACATTTATAATTACATTAATTAAATACGACAAAATACGATATGCGTTTAAATTACGCACACAAAATGCAGACTTAACTGAATACATCGAATTAATACAGACATTTCCACGAATTAAAAATCAAAGTGCCGCTGTAAATGTTAATAAAACCAATTGTAAAGCGTGTTTTACAGCTGAGATGCAAACCGTGATACTAGATCTAGCTACAATAAACATCGCCTAATGTACAAGCGAAGCGTATCTCCAATTGACTCTATTTGACTTACTGTTTCCACAACCGTCTCCTAACAGATGCCAGAAGGTAACAAAAAATATGAAATTAAAAACGTGATGATGAAATTTCAAAAATTTTAATCAACGACTTCGCCAATTTTATAATGGAAAATAAAATACGACATGCAGTAAACTAAATGAACTATTGTATCGTTTGGATTTTTATATTTGCTGTTTACAATAATTGTTTCAACAAGATATGCCAGTGGCTTTATATTTAGCAGATTGAGTGTTCTTCTAAAGACCATTTTCTATGGAATATTTCTATTTGATCGCCAAATAAATGTTAGCAACCAATAAGAAATCTAAATAAATTTTCTATTGTGCGAAATCTTTTCCCCTAGCTGAAGCGAGTGATTGGAAAACATTGAGATACATACCGTCTGGTGTTTGCAGTGCGTCGTGTTCCAGCGGAGGTTGTTCTTGGTCGAAGGTTGCTTGTATCTGTTGGTATTTCGCGCACTTCTGGTAAGAAGGCATCGTCATTTGTTGAAGGAACTGCTGCAATGAAATCAGTGATTGACGTAATAAATAAATAACAAGTATTACCAAAATAGAGATAATCTTACAGATGAAGATTTTGTAGAAAATCATGTAGGTCATCGGAACTTTCATTAAATACATACATAAATTGTCATAATTGCATTATATTCTAGGATCGAAAAAAATAACAAGTAATCCATTAAATAGTTTTCCATTTTAATCAATTCATTAAAAAGTGGAAAACAAATTTCTATTTTTTAAAGAAATTTGTTTTCCACTTTTTAATGAATTATATTTTTGTCGAAATTTTCAGTTTTAAAATCCACTTACTCTTCTTTTCATCGCTGGGCTCAGTTCGGTTGCTATCTGAGGACCTTTGTCTGGCTGGTGTTGCGGGTACAGTTGGTCTGATTACCGTAACATCAGGCCCCGCCACACTGCCAGCTGAAGACGTTGATATTGAGTCAGCTTCTTGTTCCTTTTCAGCTGTCGCGTCCGGTCCCGATTGCGGTAGCTCATCCTTTATAAAATACAGTCGATTAAAAAAAGATTTAAATGTTTCAAATTAGGTTTAAGTCTATTCCAGTTTCTAAGATATTGAAGTATTTTGCTTAATTTAAAGATAATTAATAAAACAGTGCGATAAGAGAAAGAAGTGAAGATAATATTTACGGTTCCTTAAAAAAAATGATTTTTCTTTAGAAAGATTACTTGATTGAAATTGTTTAGTTCATTTAATATTTTCACATAATAATGTCCATTTTGTATGTCCAACATAAATGTGATAACGAATCAACAACAGTAACAAATAAAGTGGACAATCAACAGTAGCACGATAAAACAATAATGGGGCTGATACGTACAGTCACAACATTGGATGAGGAAAAGCAAGTGCAAATACATTGAATTTAAAACTTTACATTTGAAAAATCAAACAAAACATTAACATCCAAAGCTGAACAATGAAATTTTCGAAGTCGGAATTTGAATACAACGACCACATAATTGCAATTAGATAGAATTACTTTCAAAATTTAATGTTTATTGTAAAATATTATTCTTGTACTAACTTGAGAGCTACTTATGAAGTAAATACTATAACTGTGCGCAAAATAAAATATTAACAAAAAGCTTCATTGAAATAAAGGACGATTTGATGTTCGTAGTTTTAAGTGTGTACAGTCAAACAGCCCCTAAAACTTGTGGTGCTGTTTCACACAATATTAAACGAAATTTTGTTGGAATGTTAAATAAATTTGGAAACGGTAATTTAACTACAAGAAATTCTAATTCAACTAGACTTGCCAATTAGTTAACTAAAAGTCTCACCGCCCCATTTATAAAAATTAAAAGTTCCAAAAGTTTCCTGATATTAATTGACCATTGGAAATTTGCGATAGCCGGCAAAGAGCGATTGTGTTTCTATAAGTGTCGCCTACTAAAAAGCAATTAAAAAAAGCAGTCTGCATGGCCGACATTGAACAATTTTTCAGCGATGTAATATCGAAATGTGAATATTAGATAAAGGTGTATATAAGGGCGGTGAGACCGGTACATAATGTGTTGTTGGGCTTACGTCCGAGGGCTGCGAGGCTTGCTCGTCCTCCTCCTGCACGGGGCGGACGGCGAACCGCGCGGCGCCCGTGTCGCTGTCTGACAGCACCTGCGTCACCGCACAGTGACGTCAGCACAGACACGCGAGTGTGCGGGATTATGTATAGCAAACAACAAATAGCAGGGAACAGTTTTATCGACTTCATTTCGAACTCATTAAATTAATTCCAAATTTAAATTGTCAAAAGTTATATTTTTTCCATATTTTTAATTTCAGAATTCTAATTTTTTCAAAAATAAATAAAGTCAATAAAAACTGGAAGCTAAAAAAATAAACAGCGGCGACGATTTCTTATACAAAAATAAATATATTTCCAACATTGAACATTTTTTGACATTCAAGATATTAGTGGAAAAAACATTTTAATGAATGTTGCTCTACAACATCGATGTTATAATGGCATGCTGTTGTTATACCAATTAATGAATTTGTAGACAAGGGACAACTGACATATTTGAACACGTATTTTTTCCAAAATATAACATTTTCAAGATTTTAATCACAGAAAAACATAAAAATGTAATTTTTTATTTTACCTCAGATCTGTCACTGGCTGTTCTTAGCCTGGCTCCTCCAGCCTGGAATGTCGGTGGTGGTGGTCCTAACGTGTCTGTTGATCCTCGATTTACTAAAGAGGGATGAGTCGCCATGAACCGATGTATCACCGCCAAATGGTTCATTGTTTGCTCAGCGACATCTTCTAGCTTTCTTAACCTAAACTCCACACTCTAAAATATATGACATTATTATTAGACTTGAGAATTAGATTTTATTGCGATGCGAAAAGTTGAACATTAATTGCTTTATTGTTAAGAATGCAAGTAGTTCCTTTCGTGTTTACTCACCTGCACAGATTGTATTTGACAATTAGCTTTTTGGTTTAAATCTTCCATTTTTGTAGTGATGTGCTCAACTCTGTCTGTCGTATTTCTCACTCTTTCTTCTATTGAATTTGACAATTTAACTTCCTGAAAATATATCACACAATAACTAAAAAACTTAAATTTTACAAGTTAATATTTTCTTTTGAATGTTTGATGAAAGGCGATTGTATTTTTTATTTATTTTATATTTAAAGTACGGTATAAAGGCAATCAAACTTACTTGTTCCCTGAAATAACCTTCAACACATTCCTCTTCAAAATCATACAATCTCTCCATGTCTTCTTTCTCTAAGAACAACTTAAGGCCATTGTCGTATTGAAACCTTTTGTGAGATACGTTCCTTGTCACCCATTTACAAGTCGCGTAGATGTGACAAAATATAATCAGTGGAGGTGGCAATACTGGCTTCTGTTCGTATTCCATAACAACAGTGAATCTTTGGAACATCCAAACCTGTCGGGTTATTAATACTGTTATAAGTCTTACAAATTAAACGTGAGAATCAATAACATTACTGCTTATTTCTTTTTTTTAATGATCATTAGGATTGATTAAAATTATTGAAAACTAAAATTTTACTATGGTATTTTGCTTTGAAACCTGACTTTTAAACTAACAAAGGGCAAAAACATTTTAATTTTAAAGAACAAGTCATTTTAAATAAATTAATCTTTAGGATTATATTAGAAATCTTAGGACTTCACAAAAAGCGATATTTTCTTGTTATAATTTCGACAATTTATTTGGTTTATACATACAGGAAAGAAACATTCTTGAAATATTAAGGAAAGCATCAATTTCCTAATATTGAAAGGTCCCAAAGGACGATATTTGTTTGGGGAGTTTGTTCGACAAACGGTTAATAACATATTAATATCGATAACTGTTGAGTGTGTAAGCTTATATCTTAGTAAATATTATATTACTTGGAAATTTATTCTAATTGAAGTACATAAAGCCTTAAATAATCGTTAGAAATCCAACTCCTAGACTAAATTATACGTTTGTTCTAACAATATTCACCCATTAACAAAAGCAAACAACGAAAACGAAGTTATTAAATAAAGCTAATTCCGTAATTGATCTTCCGTAGCTTAACTTAAGCGAAACTAAGATTAAAAATCTGTACTAAAACTTAAATTTCAATACGTCAATCAATTCCGGAACTAAAGCGCAAAATAAAATTAAAAAAAAACAAAAAAGAAAACCTGATGCGAGACTTCATTGACTTCATTAAATATATTGTTAAAGACCGCAATGAGGAGGTTTATGAGTAAAATATTCGCCACAAGGAGGTAGATGGTCATCGCGATGGGCGTGATCCAACGCCCGGTGACACACTTTGGGTCGTAAATGTCCATACCGCATTCCGGGTCGATGTCACTCGCGAAAACTTCACCGTACAACATGAAGTACGGTTGAAAGAATATCTACAATGACGCAAATAAAACAAATTAAAAAGTATCGCAAATAAAATTAATAACCGAACTTAAAAACTACTTATTATATGAATCTACGAAAATACAAACTACCCTAGACTACAATGTAATCAAATCTCGCAACAGGCTGGATGTGGAAAATACGAAAGCGATAACTAAAATCGACGAATAAGTAAAAATTAGTGATCCCTTGACGGATACAAGCTACGAAACATGTGCAACATCGACGCTACGTAATTGCAGTCGCAAACCTGGTGCGACACTCCGTTGACTTCAATGAAGATGTTATTGAAAACGGCAATAAGAAGGTTGACAAGTAAAATGTTGGCGATGAGAAGGTACACGCTCATTACGACCGGCGGCACCCAGTGCCCGACCCGGCACTTCTCGAGCCCCGGCAAGCCGCACGGGGGCGCCATTTGCTCGGCAAACACCTCACCGTACAACATGAAGTAAGGTTGGAAGAAAACCTGCAAATATTTTGTTAGTGTGGAAACCTTTGATTAAACTAAGTGTTAGTTTTTTTTTTAAATAGGCTTCTTCTACAGCTTCTATAATAAAAACATGCGTTTATCAATTGTTTCATACAGTATCAGTTAATTGTATGAAGATTTGTGTAATTGATACTCAAAAATTTGCCTGCAACTTGTTTCAATAATTTATTATCTAATTAACCATCAGATTTAGTTGTACAACTTAAAATTAAAATTACATTATTAATGTAGTGAATGGTACTTACTTCTCTTATCAAATAAAGACTAGCTTCTTTGTCCGGGTAGAGTATCGCCTGGCGGGCGACACCGAACGACATCAGTACAACTAGCAGTAGCACCACAAAGTATATCATATTTTTTACCATTTTACCCATCATCGTTACCAATGGACCTACAAGATAAAGCCATCATTAGGGCATACACAAAGATTGCTTCAAACACCACGATACCAAAATGTAATAAACTTTTGGTAATAAAAATAAAGTTTTCAAAGCTTTTGCAATATGTAGCGAGTTCATAGCACTTCAAGTTTTCGTTAATATTGTTTGAGGTTCTAACTTTATACAAGTTTGCTTAATAATAAAGTAAAACTTCATCAAACATGCAGCGGTAGATCGTTACAGTTCATTGCACTATCGAATAAGGAGAATTGTGTAATAATGGATATGTTTTATCGCACACTGTCGTCAAAGTTTGTAAACTTATTGGAGGATAACTCCAAAGTTAGACACTTATCGTTAGATATTGCTAAAGTAGTAATTAGTTTTTTTTATAACATAAGGTGGAAAACGAGCAACCGGCTACCTGAATGCGCTAAAATAGCGAAGCGACCGCTGCTCATAGACATCCGCAATTGCAGATGCGTTGCCTACCCTTATTCGACGGAGGAGGAGACGCACATAAAGAGGATATTTCCCCTTCCTATGCATCGTCTTCCACCGTCAAATCCACTTCCCCTTCCCATCCTCTCCTTATAAGAAAAGGGTGGTAAAGAGAAAGGGACTTAAATTAGGCTTCCGGAACCACACTCATCAGACGAAACACGGAATTGCTTCCATTTCACGCCTGTCTTCTGTATGGTCGTGGTATTACACCGGGCGTGCCGGCCCATTAGTACTAAGATGTTAAAGCGAGCACTACCACTGTTAAAACTGACTTTTAATATCTGCATTCAGGCGTTCATCAAACAAAAGTCGTTTATAGAAGCATGATTTTGAACTTACCTAAATATTTATTAACCCCCAATATATTGAGTATCCTAAGATACCAGTAGATGATGTCGACGCAGTAGATGACGCGGCCGACGTCCATTGAGCTAGCGCGAAGGCGCAGCGCGAGCCCCACCAAGAAGAATATAATGAATCCCGCATCATACATATTCCACATGTTCCACGCCCACACACTGAACTTATGTCTGTACAATAAACAACACAATGTTTCAAGCAATAATTTCATTATAAACTGGAAATTCAAATTTGGAAAATTACATTAAAATTTTTGAAAATAAATTTCAAAAGTTTAGTTGAGGTAAAAATGAATTATTTAAAACAACCTACCTAATAGCAACTGGTTCGGACGTAATAATTTCCCTTATCTTCTCACATAAGAAAGTTAATATATAACATATGGAGTATATCTCCGGCCAAGATGGCGTCAGATCCATCTTGACTAATACTGTATACGTAAACATCAGAAGGAACAGAATATAGGCAATCTGTAACAAAGGGACGCTTAATTAAAATGGATATTTTCCTATTAAAACTCGATAAGTGTTTCGATGATTACAAAAAAAAATCAAAATGATAGTTAGAAAATTATCTATACGATAATCTGAAAACTGTCATCCAAAAAGTTATAAGTTAGACTTAATGATGACATAAAAAGGGGATAATTGCTTGTGCGTGTTACCGTTAGCAGCAAATATAATCGTTCGGGTAATGACCCCCACCTCTTACACCCCCTAATGTAAATATGCGGTAAATGACGTGAACTTTACATTGTAATAATCTACCTTCAGTAAACCTAACACTGCCCTACTTTTTCATTTTAATTAAGGCCAACCCTACAGATAAGGTGTAATAATTATTGCTTATGTTTTATTGGGGAGGAATTTTTACGGTGGAAGTATTGAAAAAAGAAAAGGTTTTTTATTTACAATCCAACAATTTGTCAGAAAAATTTGTTAAACTCACTGTCAATGCATTGTAGAAATATCATAGTTAAAATATAATTAACTAGCTTTGCTCGGGACTTCGCCCGCGTGAACTTAAGAAATAAAAACATGGCCTATGTTACTCACTTTTTAACGGTGAAAGAATTTTTGAAATCGGTCAGTAGTTTTTTAATAATCTCAATATATACAAGTCTTTCCTCTTTATAATGCTAGTATAGTTAGTAAAGAAAACTTACCGAATCAGCCCAAAACTTCGTAATAGGCGCAGTAAAGAATTCATATATCTTCTTTCTGAGCCGCAAAGGTCGCATCCTCTTGTCTTCTGGAGCGTGATACTCTGGCAGTTCTCTATACGACGGCTCCCAGCCTATTTTACCAACTTTCCCATTTTGATCGACACGGGTCTCGCATTCGGCCCCTGAGCCAATCAACGCCTGCTTGAGTCCATACAAAATCGTAACAAAATTATCACAAAATGTTCAAAGGGTAGAGAATAAAAATCGGAAGGCAGAAGAAAAGCCTTGATTAATTAGACAAGTTAGTGAATACAAAATGTCGAGACATACGAACAATATTGCTATCTCTCTTTTATTCAAACAGTAGGAATGGGATAGCAGTATTATTGTAATAGGACAGAGTAAATCTGCCGTAATGATGCTTGGAATTATAGTTCTTATATTAAAGGATCCACAAGCATTTAGTGAATTTTGAAACTTAAATTAAGCAGCGTTAGGCTGAAAATTGAATGATGCCAAAGGCGAAGAATATTCTGGAAAAGTTAAGAAATTAAATTATAATACAAATGTTATTCCGATTTCCGTAAAACATAAGCAACGACCAATTTCTTATAAAGCCGTTTATGTATCACTAATTAACATGATTTACTTAAGAAACAAAATAGCAGTAATAAAATAAACAATTATGACGTCACAAGGATTATTTACCGTGATACACAAACGAATAGCAAGAATTGAAAATTTAGCAGGAACATTACAAAAAATCTACAAGATATAAAAAGCCGACGGATAGCTTGCAACACCAGTTTTGTTTGTAAAAGCACAATTTTGCTGTGTAAGTCAGTTTAGTGTAAATTCTTAACAAACTTAAGCATGAAATCAAATACGCAAATAATATTTAACATTTGAAACAATAAACTATAATTTCAGAAATAATAGATATTATGAACCATTTTTTAATATATATGAACCTTTTGTTTCGTTTCATGAACCAGGACAACATTTCCTTAAGGAAGTAATTATGTTCCTAGCACAAAAGATATTTTTTCTTGGGTTAAAAATAACAAGATTCTTCTTCGTAATAAATGAAATATATTCTAACGAAAAATTGAATAAATTGAAAAAATCGTATCTTACTAAATTATAAGAAAAAAAGCGAAATTTCTTCATCAGAAAGTGTAAAGCATTTGAATGTTGTGCAGTGTTGGTACATTGAGAAGTCGTTCGTGTACCTTGGTGACTTTAACCTGCTGCCCAGGAGGTATAATCTTCTTAATAGAAAGCGTACGCCGTTTCACAACACCCACCTACATACGTAATAATATCATATACTCTTGTATTCTCATACAATATACGCCATAAGAATTAAAAATAAAAATTACATCCAAACAATTTCATATATAATGCTTTTTTTTATTTTTTATGTTTTTGTTAGTTGACGTTATTAACATATATTTACATTTGTTTGCTAAACTATCAAAATTGTTCTGTTACTTGTGTTGTGCTGTGTTCGTGTGAACATTGATGTTCATAAGTGTTATAGCCCATCACCCGCGTGGAAAGCCATGGGAAGCAACTAAACACAAAACGTTACCTCAGCATCATTCGGATCCTTCGTGCTTCTATCGTCTTCCATACTTTCGTTCTCCAAATGCTCCTCTTCTGTCTGTGGCATCAGCTGGAGTTCCTCCTTGGACTTGAATTCCAGGTGGAGAATGTACAGCGGGAACAGCAGACTCAGAATTACCTTCAGACATGACGACAAAGCCGATGTGGCAAACGATATGCTGCTCGATCGATGCTAGCTAAATCACTTTGACTTTAAGCTTAACATGCTACGTTTAGCTAATCACTGACGACGACTCTTCTGTTATCTACATCGAAAACTAACTGTTACTCACGACTTCGCTTGCATGAAATTGAAAAATATAGCTTATATTACTGACTAGCTGTTCCCGTGCGACTTCATCCGCATAAAATTATGAACATTTTATTTTACTGTTTTCATGTGTCAAATTATCAATTGCAAATGTCAAAATGACATAACGATGACGAAATCATGGCAACCTTGCGTCCTTGATGCTGGCAGCAACTTATGGTCTTTTTCCCTCATTAGGGTTTTTATTCAAAATATTTACTCCATAAGTTTAATGGCGTGAAAATATACGTGACGTAAGTGTAAGGCTTTTTATTAAAAAAAAAACTTATTCAAAAATGTGCTGTAATTGCTGACATCTTAGGCAACACAGAAGTGTGTGTTTACGCTTTATTATAATAGTATAGATAACGTAGCTTTTTAATGGTGAAAGAATTTTTGAAATCGGACATGTAGTTTTTGAGTAATTTCAATAAATACAAACATTTCCTCTTTATAATATTCGTATAGATTTAACGATATTTCATCATCAGAAACTTGCCCTTGTTCCTAGTATCGGCACAGTATATCCATACAGCTCTATCATATTTGATTTCACTCCCTTCAAGCATCTCTTTCACACAATCCATACTTTCTTAGGCTTTCTACTTTCGAAACCATTTATATTTATTCCTTTTACTTTTGTGTTTATATGATCATGTCTACGCATAATATATATATTTTCTAATAGCAACCAATCGATAACGGTGCCTTTAACCGGACAAGACATCCTTGTTTAACTATACAATGTATAAGTTTACGTGGAATTAAAAAAAAAGTAATTGTCAATGTGTTCTTTGAGACAATCTTTTACATCTAAATTTCAATGAGTTTCAACAGTTTAGGCTACAAAATAACAAACATCCATCCATCTGAACTTTCCCATTTACGAGTATATCAGTAAAATATCTAACAGAAAAGTCGTCGTCATCAAAATGCATCGCATGCGTCTTTATCTTGAAGCTTGACACAGACATCTATATCTTAATACAACGATCGATATTCGTGAATTTCAAATGTCACTTGTACACACTATTACCATCTCTATTCCCCAAAGAGAAGGAGAGAGATGGCGATATTGCAACAGGTAGGACAGTGGAGATTCACCGTAACGTTAAAAGTTAATATCTAATTACCTCTACGACGTGCCATTGATGACAAGTCTGTGCATAAGGTGAAGAAAGAGTAACAGAACTTAGTAAATGTAAAGATTTACCTTAAGGTTGGTGTTCTTTCTGGTTCTAAGTCCTCCCATCCAGAGGTCAGCGAGGATGATTTGTGAGCAGGGGTGTGCGAGTAAAGCGCGGTGATTGGCTGCCACAGCTAGACTGAGGCAAGTCTGTCCGGACCAGTTTTGTAGCTCGCATGTTAACAGTTGTTGAGCTTGATCATCGTCTTGTCGGTAACAATAATCCAGCAATTCCAAAGCTGTTACCAAATTTTGATAAACGAAGTTAAAAACGTTAAGTTTTTCAACAAGGCGGTAGATTGATTTTTTATCAGCGTTATACGGAAATTTAATTCCTCATTTACTTAATCCTGCTTTACTATTAAAATCTTACACTAAATTAATTAACTAGTTCATTATTTTTGGTACACATAGAATACAAGTGATAAATTTAAAAATCTTTAGTAAAGTATGAATTTATAATAATTTATAGACATGAATGATCATCTCCCCTACCTTATCCTACTCCAGTAAGTCGGGGCACTGTATTTTGGTCCTCCAAATAACTCTATCATACTCTATCTCAGTTATCACTTCTTTCATCAAGTCTCCTTTCACGCAATCATCTCTTTCTAAGTCTACCTCTAGGTGAGCTGGGTTGGCTGGAGTAATCCATGTCCTATTCTTACGCAAAATACGCGCCAGTCGTGGAGTTGCGGAAACCGTAGCCCCTACTACTACTACTACTACTAAGTCTACCTCTACCGGTGTACCACACTCATAACTAAAATTTGTTGACATGAATTCATGCTAGTATTCTATTGGACACAAAAAAAGATCACAAAACTGACCTTTGGTTTCAAATTCCTTTCCGTAATGTCTGAGTTCCTCATATACCTCAGTCTCCATATCATCCTCGGCAGCTTCATGTGCCATCGCTTTATACAGTTTGCAGGCGACCAGAGATTTCGCCAGAGCTTCTTCTCCATGCGTCCACATTAATAATGCCATTTGATGTCTTTTTGTTAACACTGCCCACATCTGTTAACATGAAACTCATATAGCTGCTGCAGTCATAGTTAGTCTTCGACCATTAGTGTTACTAATGCTGGGTTTCTGAAGTCACCACTTATTTTATCATTATAACCTATGTTCCAAAGAAGTAAAACTGAAGCTAAGTAGTTCGGATTGTGTTACGAATTTATCGAAGCAAAAAACACTAAAGATTGGATAAACATAGCTTGGAAATCGGTCATAAAAGATTTACCCAATGTTTAACTTGTAAATATATATTTGAACCGGTACACATATAGTTTAGTGTTGTTTTAGGTCTCTTTTCGTCGTATCTTTAGATTGACTTCTTGTCATATGATACTATTTATTGTGTTTTAATATAATAAGGTGGCAACAAGCAAGCGGTTACCTGAAAGTCTGCTACTCTTAGACATTTCTAAAAGCAGAGGATATTTCCCCTTCCTACGCGTAAACCTCCGTTAAATACTCGATCCCCTTCTCTTTCTTTCCAGTAAGTGGACTGTATAGTGTTACTTACGAGTAGTTCATTAAAAGGATAGTCGAAGAGCGCCATCTCCGAGGTGACTGGCATGAAGCCAGTGATGAGGGACAGTCCTCCAGCGTTGTGCCGCGTGAACGACGCACTATTACGGTGCACGTTTACGCTCTTGTTCATCACTTTGGCGTAGATAGGACGGAACTTGCGACGGGTGTAGTAGCACCTTTACGAAAACATACATATAATGATGGTTATCTTCCATTTATCTAATCACCTTTGACTAAACTATCGCACTACTGTTGTGATATTGTCTATTGTTTCGCAGCCAATTCAACCGTTTAGTTGTACAACTAAAAATCGCGTAGTGTGCACTTCCATATAAGCTTATAGGAATCAAAGCGCGATTAAACAGTGCGATAGTTTGGTCAAAGATGTACGCACACTCTTAGTATCATATAACCTACAAATATAGAGAGAGTCGGTGGCTCGGGGGTTAAACACTTGACTGATATCTTATCTGGAGGTCTTGGGTTCAAATTCCTACGTACCAATATTTTTCGATTTTCGGATTTTAATTTTACATTTTTTCGACGTTCTTACGATCAAGAAAAACATCTAAATAAAACTACGGGAATATGTAAAAAGACTTATTATATTAAGATAAGTAAGCAACGATATTTATAAATGCTCACCTATATGCACCTCCCATAAGCTTATTAATAACCAAACCAATATCATGTAGAGTGTACACATATCCCCGCGGTAGATGCGGCCTCACGTCTCTCAGGATATACCTCAGTGTGTTACTAGGGCCGCTCTTTGTATTATATAGCTCTTCTAAACGTGGTATCGTAAGGAATTTCCTCATAGACACGCCGTTCTCTAGCAGGAGTTTAACGAAGTCTATTCTATCGTGTTCTAAAGCTTGCATCATTGCTTCGTCTAGTGCTCCTATAAAAATTAATACAATTCCCAGAAAAATTAAAAAGGTACTTTTTCTGCTTACTAATTTTGATTCAAATAAAGGATCAAATAACAATGAGAACCCAAAGGTTGGAATATAAAGTTTTTTAATTAAACAATAAAGGCAACCGGCAACGATTACACAAAACACCTGTGTTTGATCACATTTCGAAAAGCACATTTAAAACCTTTTGATGTTACGTGCTCCGGGCGCAAATACATCGGGACACGGCTTGTAAACATTTACTAAGGTAGGAACATACGGAATTCATTAAATCAAAACAAAAAGCAAACATCGTATATAGCATGAATTCTTGTTGGTTGGAATTAGATTAAAACATATTTAGAGATAACATCCTGTATATAAATCAAAACCACTAAAAAAACACCCTGTAACTCACCTGGCGGCCACTCCTGTCCATAGACAAATATCTCCGATCTGGCAATGTCCACTCTATTCCAGGTCAGTGCCAAAGACAGCTGTTCGCTAGGAGACAGGTGTTGCGCTCTGAACAGCGCCGTCAAGATAACCTGGTCTAATTCCTGCACCTCCCCACCTTCAGCACGCTCTTGGATCCTGAACACTGTGATCTGTGAACAAAGACTGAGTATAACTACTGACATGATGTTCTTCTTGAACGCTTTTCGAAGTTAAATTTAAGGGTTATTCCCAACCGTCCCCTGCTCTGTCCCCACGTGGAGACAGATGAGAATGAAAAGTTTCATCCGTTCCACCTTTTACGACGAGAGGACGATTGGAACCTATTTTATTTTATAACTGTTCCATCTGTCACCTTATTAATGTGGTGATAGTGAGACTAAAAGGTGGGACGGATAGAACTTTATTCTCGTGTGGGGACAACGCGGGGTGACAGTTGGGAATAATCCAAATTTAATACCTATCTGAGAAAAGTAGATTTATACTGAGATAATATAATTTTGTTGGTTATGAGAACGTCCATTGAACGTTTGAAATAACAAGATCAGGAACGGACCAAAGTAAATTCAATTAGTACAAGCTTAGTTCGGTCTCCTGAATATTTAAACATCAATATTGATACTGGAAACTCGCTTACTACTTAATAAATGCGAAAGATTAGATGGATGGGTGTTTGTTAGAGTTTGTAGTCTAAACTTCTGAACGGATAACAATGAAATTTGGTATAGATGTAGAGGATAGTCTGAAACACATAGACTACTTGCTTTTCTTTTTTAAATTCCACGCGGCGTAATTCACGGGCAACGTTTATTTTTTAATACAATGCAAATTTAGAATTTTCAAAATATATCGCTGTCTTTGTTCTAAAAGATTATGAGAGGGATGGATGTCGAACATGGTAACAAAGACCCTAACGGAAACGTTCCGGGCACTCAATAAAAGTTTTTCCTGGATTACCATCCACGCTTTTGAAAGGCGAGAAACAATATCCGTAAGATATCCGCTATAGAATTTTATACGATTTATATTATGGAATACTTTTCTTTGTGAAATATCTGTTTATAAAAATGAGACTTTAAACAAAAAGAATAAAGGCAACCTTAAATTCGAGAATATGTGAGAGATTTCTATACAATTTTTTACATATCGACAGAAGAATCAGTTATATTCAAGCCATACCAAATTCTTCTTCCTCGTGCACTGCAGCAGTTCGCTGTACAGACACTCCGCCTGCTGCAAGCCCACTTCAAACGTCTTCTGTATTGTGCCTATCAGGTAGTCACGCATTGATTCTAGCACCGTCTGCTCACCACTCTCTGATGCATACCTGAGTAGACAATTACAAACTGTGTTTAGGATTTTTTGAATTTTTTAAAAGTAACCGAAGACATGAAGTTGGGAGACAAATAAATCTACCACTTTATTTACGTTCCTTAAATACAAAACTGTTTAACTATCTTAAAGTTATTCTTATATATCTTTCTAATATTGAATGCGAATGTTAAGATGGATGGATGTTTGTTAGAGTTTGTAGCCTAAACAGCTGAACGGATTTGGATGAGATTTGGAATAGATGTAGAGCATAGTCTGGAAGAACACATAGGCTACTTATTTTTTTAACGTCGCGGGCGAAAGCTAGTAGGAACATAAATTAAATTGGAATTCCACAAGGCACCAATGTAGGTCCAAAAGGATTATTCTTTGAAATTGTGTTAAAACTGACTTGTGTACGAAGGCGATGAGGTCTGCCGCTCTTCCGCTCCCATCGCAAACCACCACTGGCACTGGCGGGGAGTCCGTCACGTACTCGAGAACAGCACGCACTGTGTTAGTACCGCCTTCTATCACAAGGCATACCACCGGTGTTGAAGAATGCGTGTCTGTTGGAACACAAGTCAAATTTACAACGTATAAAACATTCGATTTCTGATCTTTTTGTTACAAAAAAGATATCACAAGTCTAGAGATTTTGTTTGCACGTAGATGCTATTTTAGAAGAACTAATGAAGAAAAGTTAGAAAAATGTCTTTAACAAAAGTTTCAGTTGCAAAAAGACGGTCTCGAAGAAGTTTTTAAAGTAGAATGGGATATAAAGTTGATTTCCTACGTGTTTAACACAATTTTTCTTCATGTTTGATGTTTTTTGATAATGGTTTTAGCAGGATTTTATGTACAAAAATGTTTAAGGAAAAAATATAATAAAAACCCATTAATGAAAAGGGACTTTTAACATAAAAACACGTTGAAACAGGCAAGCACCTAATTAATTTACACCGGTGTCGCAAATGAACATTTTATAAAGCAAAAGTTTTATTAAATAAACTCTGTTTATCGTTAATTAGTGCAGGGAAATTGTAACCTTTCAATGTATTGTATTTAATTAAATTAAAAAGAATTATTAAGATATTATAATGCAGGGGTTGCCAACCACTGGCACACGTGCGATAAATGGCACACGACACAATATTTTGGGCACGTCGATCATCATAAAAACACCACGAAAAAGTATAAAATAGGTATTATATAAAAAGCAAACGCGATGCCATTACCATGCATCATAGAATAGACGTAATATTTAATCAAAATTATTTGAAGGCACGTCAAAGACAGCATTAAACATTTATTCAAAATATAGCACTTTGATGCGCAAGGTTCGCCACTTCTCTAACATGCCTAATTACGTCTTGAAAAATAGCAGTTTTGTTCACAATGATACTCAGTTATATAAAATACAGCTAGCCATACGCCATCCTTTACACAGTTGGATTGTTTAGATCAGTCCGTGTACAGCTTTAATACTTGAATAATAGCAATACTTACATGGATGTAACTTCTGTGCAGCAATGTACTTCTCCAGCTTTCTTCTAAGCACTATCTCAGCACCGTATCTACCTACTGAGCCGTTGTCGACCAGTAGGAAATATGCATGGCGGTTATTTAATACTGCTAACTTCGACCTATAAAAGAAAATATTTCCATTCTTGTATAATGTTAAATTTTACTAATATTGGAAATGCAAAGGTTTAGGTAGATGGTAGTTTGTTTGTCGCCTAAACGGCTGAATGGATCTTGATTAAATTTGGCAAAGACGTAGAGGATATTCTCGAAGAATATATAGGCTACTTTTGTTTTTTTCGCGGGCAAAAGTCAAGTCAAGAGATAATAATTTTAAACAATTATGTTTCTCGTTAACTTCTTAAAACAAATAGTTACAGTTAAAAAAAATACTGACCTAAAATAATTATATCCGATTTACGCCCCTAAAGTTAATGACAAAAACATGTAGTATCTTTTGTCGTATGTAATTTTTCGTAAATTTACTGATATGTGGGGCGTTACGGCGTCCCCTCGACGCAATTCTAATATTACGATCCTTTTTTACAGCCTGTTGCTTCTTTATGTGTATTTTCGGTCCCTACAAACTTCCGTTTATGAACCTCCCACGCGGAGTAATAAAGAAAACTGTTTGAGTGGTTTTTATAGATGCAATTCAATTTATTTAGAGATTGTACTTATCAAATGTTTAAATAGTTTAGTTGTAGAAGTGAGCGGTTTTGTAAAATTCAATTCCGAAGGTAGATTATATACACGGCAACGATCTTCCATTGTGGGTGTGTATGTCGGAGATAATGAAATAACAATCGCGTAATTTTAGAAACACTATCCTTAGTTGACCACCATCTTAATTAATAACTACACATCACACTCTAATTGCAAATATTTACAGAGATTAACCAATTGATTTTATAATAACATAATACCAAAGCACATCCCACCATTTAGAGACAACTGTCATCAGTCATTCTATCGTCGTCTTGACATCTCTCATGCACGATGCACATTCAGCCAGTACTCAAAATTATTAGTTGCCAGTAACTTTAATTGTTCAAAAAGTATCAATCATTTTGTCCCGTTACAGTTATTTTGGTATTAAAAAGTGTAATATTCATTATTTATAATAAAGACATTTGATAAAGTCTTGTGTAATAAAAGAAAATTGTTTTTGCCAACCCTATTTTTACAAGTACGGTCTACAAAACAATACAAATTAATATTTCGTTTCTACACAAAGTTGTATACAGACAGTCAAAGCATTTGACCGCCAGAGTGGAACTGTACGGAATTACATACGGACATGAAAGCTTTTGACTTGCTTTGTTTTGTTCTTAGAAGGTAAAAATTTTTTTACAATACAAATAACTACGGCAGGAAAGTTTTAAAATATAAACAGACACATAATAATCACAGAAAATTATTGCACACGTACAATAAGCCAATTGGCTAGACACATACCTGGGAGATGCAATAGCGTGGTATGGAACATCCCGTCCCCTTCCGATCAGTTCGTGGGCGCCCTCCACAATACCCCAGGGGGCGATACCGATGCTGACGACCCTGCCTGCTCGCTGCGACCGCTCCAGTTGTAACGCATCGCCCACCTGACGTGTTACACCTGGGAAATGACATAACAACTGTAATATAAGTATAGTGTGGCCAGCCTTTTCATATTTTACTTTCCAATATCACGACTTTTTAAAATTCGCTGGAGATTTTAAGGAAAGGGAAAAACGAGCGGAAGGACCAAGGAGATCAATGACTCTCACGAACCTCTACAACAGACGAGAGGGAGAAAGGATATTCTAAAAATATACCTCGTATTTTCTATGGATTCAGGAATATTTTCTGACCTGTATTAGTTCCTCCAGTAAAGATCCACGCGCCTGTTGTCTTCGCGGCTTTAAGCAAACCTTTCCTAAGCACTTTCTTCAGCTTTGGCTGCAGATCGAAGTTGGCCTTTCCTCCTTGTATGGTGATGAGAAGTTTCGGTCTGTCCAGTGCCCATTCTCGCGTTAGCAATTGAACTATCAGGTCAGGCCGCGTGTCGTGTGATAGACGGACGTACTGGAAATTTTTTTTCGATTTGAAATCAATTTTAATTTTGTGTCATGCTTAATTAATCTTCAGAAACACCATCTGGTATAAGCATATGTTATACCAGATGCCAACATATTGGCTTATTTTAGTATGGAGTATGAATGTACGAGTATGTACGTTACCTGTGCTTTAGTAGGATGCGGACCGCCTTGGAACTCGACAGTGCCGTAGGCGTCGGTGGGTGCGGGCTGCGTGTGCCGCGCGGGCACCCACGCCTCCCCGGGCCCTGCGCACGCCGCACTCGACCCATGCGCTGTCTTGCTCAAGCCGCACCAACATCTAACAAAATACAGAAATAATATTCAATAAAATATTTAATTGTTCAACGTTTTCAGTCACAAATGGGTATTTGAATTATTTTCAAGTACCGGTGCTAAAAATTATATTATCTCTCAAGTATTATTATAACCTTCTTGCTAAACTTTCGAATATGCTGAATTTTTCTGACTTTCGCGAAAAATAAAATCCCCCCTCTCATTTGACATCTGCATTTTTACGTGTTTATTTTAACTAAGTTACAAAATTTTTTAAGTTAATAATTAAAAAATCATCAGAAATGGATGAAGATAAGAAACAAGCTAGCCATCCGTCCACAAGTAAAATCGAGGATAGAAGCAACAACTCACGGCAAGACGTGCGGGGAGAGGAACAAGACGTGCAATCAAATTCATTCGTATCAGAATCTAGTGTGTACACTGACAACAGTTTTATAACGACCGCCAACGAGGCAAAGGAGATAACGAAAATTAACAGGATAATGAAAGAGATTTCCGATCAGAAAAAAGGGAAGACACATCGAGCCGGCAGAGTACAGAGGCGGCGCGCGCGCCCTCGAGCTAGTCATGGTTTAAGAAGATCTGTAAAATATGAGCCTAGAAGTAGAAACACCAGAAGAACTCGTGACTTCTCTGTGTCGACGCTGTTTCGCGGGATGCAGACCCGCTGTCAGTACTGCGGGCATCGATGTCGCAGAAGGTAGTTTGACATTTAACTTGTGTTTTTGACTATCTGTTCCATTTACATGTATTAGAAAAGGAATTAAATGATTCAATGTTTATTTGAGTTTCATTTTTGGTCCCGGAATAACTACATTGAAGAAGGTATAAGGGAAAACGAAGACGTAAGAACATTTGGAGACGAAGACCGCGGAAACTTGATAAAATCAAGATTATTAAAAAACGACGACATCGTTTGATAAAGAATAAATTGAATTCAGGTCAGAATAGCACTTCTGTTATTATTGCATTATACTTACAATGAAGTTCTGGGATACTATGGAATAGAAACAAACATTGGAAGAACATAGCCGATTTCATATAACAACATTTTGCTTTTCATTTCTTAATATTTTTCAAGGTTTAAAACTCTCATAGATTGCCCGGTTTAACAAAATAAAGTCCTTTAAGGTTGGATTGTTGTCAGGTTAGTCTGCATCCAGGCAGGCTCCACCAGTAAGATGCTATCTTCTCTATTTATGAAAACTAATAACCAGTTAACGGACAATGTGAACTACAGAGAAGATTACAATGAGGTATTTTAACTATTACAATAGATACTTTGACAAGTAAATTATGGATAAATGCATAAAAAAGAACTATTTTTTCCATTTATTCATAAGTAAAGTCTAAATTAGAGGTAGCCAATATCCTCAATGTCTCTAACTTATTAAGTAATCCTGATTAACTTATTTCAAGATATCGCCAGAAATGATTTGTGAAGCATTGGAAAGGCTGGGTAGATGGAAGCAAAGTGTCAATACAAACTCCATATTGAACTATGTGCGGGTAAATTTAAATTTTTGCTGTAACACTTTGTTCATGGAATTCGCTACGTGTCTAAAAAATGGTAGTGAAATTCGTTTTTCACTCACGAAGTTTGTAGTTTTACTCGAAATTCGTTTACGTTCGAGAATTGAACGGAGAGAAGGAACAAAAATGTTTGCCAGTAGCAGGCATGCAAGTAGCTAGTACTATTTGGTTTTGTGAGAGCTACGGGGATAAAAATTGGGGGAGGGAAGGAGGTAGTTACGTAACTTAATACTGATATCGTATGATCTCGTTGACATTTTACTGTTACATGTATACGCATTGCGCCAGTAACTGATACATGCCAAGGGCTGGAATGCCAACTACTAGTCTACTAAACTGGCATGTGTAATGCCTTAATATATATGTAGGGATATATTTGACAGAAAAAAACAATATAAATCAAACAATTTATATCGATACTAATAGGGAGAAAAAATGTGTATTTTTGTATGTATTTTGTACATATTTGTATATATATCACATAAAAACTACTGGGCCGATTTAAAAAATACTATTGCCGTTAGAAAGGTAATCAGTGAGTAACATAGGCTATATATTTTTTAAATTTCTCTATTTCACGGGGATGAAGTCGCGAGCAACAGTTAGTATCATATGAAGATTATTCACATACATTACACTTTAAGATATTGCTGACTCTATTTTTCACAATTACCTGAGGGAGACAACAAATCGGTTTTATACGTATTTTGGCAATAAAAATCTACAATTATAACCAATACATTCCAGATGAATTACCCAGTGAGTCAAGATATCGCTTTTTTAGAAAGAGATTTGAGAGAAAAGCTTTACATCGCAACTGTCTGTGGTGAGTAAATGTTAATTATTATCTTTGCGTAGTTTATTGTCTATTTTAAAATAAGCTATTAATATTCACAAACGTTTATATACATTAATTTTGATTTAAAACAACAGCAATCTTACTTTTTACTAATACTATAAATGGGAAAGTTTAAATGTATGAATGTTTGTTAGGGTTTGTGGCCTTAACTGTGTAACGGATCTCGATGAATTTTGGCATAAACCTAGAGAAGAGTCTGGAAGAACACATAGGATACTTGCTTTTGTTTATTTAATTCCACGCGAACGGAGTCGCGGGCGATAGTTAGTAATAAAGTCTTTCAAACTTCGCACAGAAAGCCTGAAATTTAATCTTATATTGAAAAAGGCACACCCTTGGACAATTATTTTTAATTCAATATCGCAGGGATAGTAACAGACTTGAAGAGTGACAATTGGGAGCTGACGACGCCATTGCAGGAGCAGAGGCTAACAGAAACACACGTCACTCTCTTCTGGAAGCTCTACGCTGACACTATGACACCTATCACACCCATTAAGGTTGCCAAATACGATTCTTACGTACTTACACTTTGTTGAACTGCTGTACTCAGAAACATTTTAGTTATGGATTGTTATTTAGTGTAGTTTATTCAACTGCCAGACTCCTTATAGTTAAGGAATTTACATCAAGGAAAACTTTAATTCTCTTATCTCTGCTAGATCTTAGAGTAAAAATGTTATTACCTAGATTTTTAAATTTTTACATATTCCTTTACATAGAAGATATTTGCGATGAAGATTTTTTTTATAATATAAGGTGGCAAACGAGAAAGCGGCCACCTGAATCCATCAACATGGAAATCGACCACTGCCCATAAACATCCGCAATTGCAGATACGTTGCCTACCTTTAATTAACGGAGGAGGAGACGCACATAAGGAGGAGATGATTTTTAAATTGCGTTTCCAAACAGAAATAAATCACTTGTTTTATTTTTAATTTTCTAGAATGTTCCAGAACCTGACAAAACTACAGAAGACGCAGAGATCGGCTTACGTTTTAAAATGTAAAGATATTTGTTTTAGAGGCCTCGGTTGAATTTCTACTACAAGTTGATGCATGCATGCACAGTCGTGCATGCATCCACGCATGCATGCATGCACGTATATCATCGAAATAAATCTATAAACTTGACTTTATTTTTTTCATTAAATATCCTTTTGATGAGATGATTATTTATCTATATTTTAAGCTGAAAAGATTTATGACGAAATGTTCTCAATTTTTTCCATACGACATTTTACGCAGCCTCCCGGGACAATCCAATTTATGATGTGATTGACGGCACCGGAAATATCAAGGTAAAAACGCTCAACGAGAATAACAAATATTTCAACTTAAAATAAGTCAAATTCTGTCAAATAACGCGGTACTAAATAGTTATCTCTATGCAAATTTGGAATTAATTACTTTTATATAAAACTAGCTTTCGCCCGCGACTTCGTCTCGTGGAATTAAAAAAAAAACAAACACAAGTAGCCTATGTGTTCTTCAAGACTATGCTCTACGTCTATCCCAAATTTCATTGAGTTCCGTTCAGCCGTTTAGGCTACAAACTCTAACAAACATCCATCCATCCATCTAAACTTTCGCATTTATAATATTGGTTAGAAGTTAGATAGTAGTCATGTCCATATCTGTCACAAAATTGAATATTGTGATAGCTATGCCAGTTAACGTATAAACATACCTATCATGCCAGTAGCCTGTATGCTAGTCTTACTGGCATGTGTATGACTTAGGATATTTGGTCTAGTAGAAATACTATCAAAACTTATTTAACGCCATCTGGTGTAATGTGTTAAACTAACGTAAACTGACTTAAAAAAAATAAGGAAAAGTGCTAAAGGGTTACATTCAGATTGAATTGTAATGGAATTATAAATTGGAATGTAATCCCAAAAGTTGTAATAGGCATTTTTCGTTTGAGTTGACATAAAACAAACTTTGTTTCGCCATTTACTTTCTTCGAGATCTTTATTGGATAAGTTCTGATTTAGGATCGCATACGTAATTTGTTTCAGAACAATTCCTGAATCAGATATTCTATGTTTACCTTCTTTGTACCTTAACATACTTTTTTCTAGAAGGTTTTTTTTACTATATAAATCAACAATCGCTTTTGCGTTACTTTTGTCTTGTTCCTTTCAATACCTTCGCCTAATTCAATTAATATCTTTTTAAAATTATCTTTTATATCGCTAATCTACTCAAACTCTTAATCCGTACTCTTTTTTGCACAGTTTATATCTTTATTTTTTGCATAATCCTTGTTTTATCAATATTTAAGTAATCTATACTATTATAATAAAGTGTAAACACACACTTCTTTGTTGCCTAAGATGTCAGCAATTACACCATATTTTTGGATAATTATTTTTTAATAAAAAGCCCTACATTTACGTCACGCTTTAGGCTATATATTTTCACGCCATTCAATTTAGGGGGTAAATATTTTGGATAAAAACCCTAATGTGGGAAAGAGACCATAAGTTGCTGCCAACATCAAGGAAGCGAGGTTGCCATGGTTTGTCATTTTGACATTTGCAATTGTAATTTGACACATGTAAACAATATAATAAGTTTTTCATAATTTTATGCGGATGAAGTCGCAAGGGAACAGCTAGTACTAAATACAATAACACTACTACTAAACAATATTTTGACTTCTCGCTAATAGTTTAGATATATATCTATCTAAACGATATGTATCTTTGCATTTTAGTTTATAAGTTTCTATAGTTACTCATTATGGTGCGTTTATTAACAACAATTTGTACAAAGTGCCTCTGTGTGCCCAACTAATAACTAGGTAAGTTCCGAGGTGACGTTGTTAGCGACTTGAATAATGCACGTAGTTATTCCCCGACGTTCAATTTATGTAACAACTAATTCCAAGTGGCGAGGAAACCGCTGTTTAACACAACTTACACGGTTTGAACCCATCACTATCTTACATCAGACGGAATACATATTGTATTCTTAGAACGTATACCTTTGACTAAATAATTGCACAACTTTTGTGCGATTGTCGATTGTTATTCAGTCCATTCAACTGTTTAGTTGCAGAACTAAAAATCGAGTAGTGTGCACCTCCATAAGCTTATAGGAATTAAAGCGTGACTAAACATTTGTGCGTGAACGTAATACGTGAAGGTAATCGGGCTGTCATGGTCCGAGATACAACGCAGAGCCCAAGACAGAGCGAGCTGGCGGCGTACTGTGGACGCCCTCTGACGGGGACGTAGGAATAGAAGAGAGAGAGAGAGAAACGTTTGTGCGATAGTTCAATCAAAGGTGTGCGCTCTAAAGCTTCTTAACAGATCTTCGTAACGTATTGTTAATATGCAATGATGAAACACAAGATGTTTAACTCCTGATGATGATGATGATGATGATGATGATAACTCTACATACTATGGCGTGCACTCGTCACGAATAGCTTATACAACAACACAGTCTGTCGGCTCTCTTTCCTTGAATTCTTATTTACTAACTGACATAGTAATGTTTTTATTCACTAGTGGAAACGGAGATGTGTAACATTAAATACCAACATTAGTTGATTTTCCTTATCTTTTTACAGAGTAACAAATAGTAAAAGCAACACAGTAAATAGCGGTGCAATGTTTTAGAGTAGCCATCTATCACAGTCGCGGAGCAAATACATCAAACAGTTCCCGCTGGTTTAGAAACAATAGGAAGCTTTACTTATAAGTAAATAAACGATTCGTAGACTATAGTGTGTAGCTATTCGTAGACGCCTACGTAAGCTACGGCTGCTACGGCTTTCATGTCTATGTATTCAAGCCTTCTGGTGTTATTTAAGTATTAAACAAATTGTAATATTAATATTTACGATATGAAAATAAGATTTTTTTGCCAAAGAGAAAGATTATCTACATATTCAGAACATTTTTGACTTAATATTAAAAATTTTACGATAAAAATTGCAATTCTTTTTTGAGGTTATTATATTGTTTTTTTTTATATTTGCAATGGTAGTCAGTTAACATATTAAAATATTTATATAAGTAAGCTAAAGAATTTTTCGGTATAAAATTGTTGTGTAGCAAATTTTCTCTTTATGAATAAAAATAATGGACGAAGGTTCGTCCGCCGGGTAACGTGGAATTAATTTATCAAACCGCATACTTTAGATTTACGATGTAGGATATCAAACAAGTGCTTTATTTTTGAGATTTCATAAAATTAATTAGAAATTTTTATACTTATTTAATTTGTGAATAAACATTTACAATTAACTATAATTCTTTTAAGAATTTTTAGTTTTCTCTATAAAAGTGGATTAGGCCAGTGGATTAGGACGCGGGATGCCGATAGAAAGAGCATAAGATATACCTATATGGTCTTTTTAAGCGTCCCGTCTGTTGATAAAAGCTAGCAAATGTCTATGGGAAGCGGTAGCTTCTTTCATTTGGCTGATTCCGATGGTCATATGTTCGTATCACCTTATATTATAAACGACTTTAATTCCTTTTCCTGCCCACGCTTTTTATTATTAGAAAAGGATGGGATGGAAACGTGATGAAAATTTGACGGTGGAGGAGACGGCATAGGAAGGGGAAATATACTCTTTATGTGCGTTTCCGCCGTCGATTAGGGGTAGGCAACGCATCCGCTTGCAAATGTCTATGGGCAGCGGTCGCTTCGCCATTATGGTGGATTCAGGTGGCCTTGCTCGTTTGCCACCTTATGATAAAAAAAAACAGATAGCGACAATGACCCCTGATTGAGTATATTATTAATACCAATGACTAATTTATCAATATTTCTCAGTCTGATATTCCTCTGTCCCTGTCTCGAGTATAGTATTTCATTTGTTTGGGACAATTCTATTGTTTGTAAGGTCGCATGTCGCCGGATGAAAAGATGTTTATCGCGTCTGTAGCGAATTGAGACACGATGTAATATTTATAAAACCTTCATGCATATATAAGAAACTTAATTTTCTTTCACATCGTCAGAATATTCGTTTTCCACTAACTTGATTCTTTGGGTTTATAACACAAGTAACAAAGTTTGGTAAAGCTGTTACAGATCTTTAGTTTTACCGGAACAGTCAGTTTAACTGCACTGTTAAACTGTGTGTAGTGGCTTCAATGTAGGTCAATTTATATTTCGATTAATCTTTAGTTAAACGTTGTTTAATATGAGTATTAGTGGAGTTTCAAAAATTTAAATTTGTACTTATTTTTAAATAGCACTCTAATTGGTATATAAGTTATCGACATATCTTTCAGAAAGTGGTTTTATTTTCAATATAAAAATACAAAGCAACTCGATTGTTCCTATAAGCTTAGTCAATACGCTTTCAATTTCTTCTGTGGATATTTTTTTATATAAAATGTTTTATTTACCGAAGACTAAAGAACAGATGACAGGGTAAGACGAAACAAATGTGCCGTGCCAACTTTATAGAGTGGAGAGGGGATATCTCACTATCAGCATTTGTCAGCGATGTTTTTTTCTAATGCTAGTTTCACACAAGAGAACAATAAGGCAGATTAACTTCCATAAATAAAGTAACATTCGATTAGTAGTACTGCTAAATAGAAACCCAACAATATGTGGCTATATCTATAGTTTAGATATATTTACTTGTTATTTTGTTTATATACTTTTTGAAAATTTATATTATATATGCCCACAAGGATATCAGGCATAAGTAAAACTAAACAACAAACCAAACTAAGTAAAAACGCCGCTCGTTTGCAATTTTTTACTATTAAAAAAATACGAGACTTTAAAAAAAAAGTTTATCGATATTTTCATAGTATAAAGTATAGCGATAGTAGCACCTATACATATCTTATCTGGCCAGATATCTTTAACTACAGTAGTTAAATCGCTAGTCACTTTTCTGCCTTCGTGTGAAACTAGCATTATGTCTCGTCGAAAATCCTCCAATCCGGACAGATTGCTCGCTTATTGGATCCCGCACTGTCTAGGGATCAACGACGTCTATGAATTTATTTAACATTTTATTCAAATTGTATGAAATGAAAGACATAATTAAAATCATTTTAAGTATACGAGTACTATGATATCTTGAGAGTTGCAGCATTGTCGACTGTTGTACAAAGATATTCTCAATAACCGGAGACAAAGGAGTGATTCTTCAGAGCGCACCTGACTCCCTTTGTACTGTTCCGAATGAAAACATTACAAAGGCAACCCGAGACTGAATTCATGAATTGATTAAGTTTCATTTTCTTTCCAAGTGCAATAACTGAGATTTCATCTACTGTTTTGAATAAAAAAAACAAATCTTACAATTGAAGTTGCTTAAAACTACATAATATGTTCAAACTTATGTTAATTTTACTCAACTGACTGAAAAGTGGTCGCACATACACATATTACTTACGACTCCGTCCGGCGTGGATTTAGAAACATAATTACTAACCTGTGTTCTTCCAGACATCCAATATCTTTGCCAAATTTTAAACGAAATCATTTCAGCCGATTTAAAGATACATAGTAACAAGCTTATATCCATACATCCGTCTAAAGCGCATTTATAATAGTCAATAGTAACGCTAGTAAAAGATCTACAAGTCCATCATAAGACCTGTCGTATTGTATGGATCTGAATGCTGGGCCACCAAAGTTGCGGATGAAAGGAGATTGCATGTGGCTGAGATGTTAAGATGGATGTGTGGTGTGACAAGTTTGGATAAAGTTAAGAATGTGTACATTAGAGGAAGTTTGAAAGTAGCGCCAGTGGTGGAGAAATTGAGAAGCAAAAGGTTAGCGTGGTATGGACATGTTATGCGACGAAATGATGGGGACATAAACCAGAAAGTGTTGAGATTGAGTGTGGATGGCTACAAAGGAAGAGGAAGACCGAAGAAAGTATGGATGGATTGTGTGAAAGAAGATATGCTTAAGAAAGGAGTGAATCCAGATATGACGGCTGATAGAGATGTATGGAAGAGCAGCACATACTGTGCCGACCCTCCATAAGGGATAAGGGCAAGTGGATGATGAATAGTAACGTTAGTAAAAGTAATAAGATAGTGCCCGTGAGTATAAAGGGCAAATATTGAAACGAATCTTAAACACTTCGCTTCGTAAGCTCCGCTTACAATCTCATAACCGTCAGAATTTTAAAGGAATTTAGAATTTAGGCGTTGCTTTGAAATTTAGGACGTTGCTACATATCTAAATGGCGTTTCAGTATTCTGCTGTAAGAAACTGAATCGATTTTACGAAATAATTATTTATTTGTATTCATTTCCTTATTGTAAGTATATTTTATCAATTAATTAATAGATATTTAATCTTAATGTACTAATACGAAGTAAGTTTATATCCCGTTAGTTCACCTCTATGTAATTCAATAACGTTGGTAGTTCCCGACAATCCATGCGGAAACCGCGATAACTGATTTATGTGCGGTACAAAGGTCTTTTGCTAAATCTGATATTATTTTAACCTATACCGCTATTTTATAAGTAACGAGCTGTTGCCCGCGACTTCCTCCGCGTGGTATTAGAAAGCATGCGAACTATATAAATTACAAAAAGCTACGTATCCCTCGGGAACCAGACATTTCTCTGGGATGAAGCTTATCACATGTGTACTGCAGACTTTGTTTTATATCTGTGCCAAATTTCAATACGATATGTTGAATAGTTGCAGAATGATCGAGTGAACATTAAGAAACTAAAGTAATGAATCCCACGGGAAACGTAACTATTCCCGGGATAAAAAGTAGCCTATGTGTTCTTCCAAACTATCCGCTACATCCATACCAAATCCATCTAAACTTTCGCATTTATAATATTAGTATGACTAGTATGATTATAAGTAATATAAATTAATTTGGCTTATACATAAATTAAATAAAATAGGTTAACGTATGATTTATGTTGTCCACTTACTCGTAGATATGGATTGTGGTCTTAAGCCTGTATAGATATAAAGGTTAACTCACACATGCTCGTCCTTGGCGCTAGGAACGAAGAATTTACATTCTCGCTTCTGGAATGTGCTCTCTATCCAACTGCGGGTTGTTTTCTGCAACAAACATACATACGGATTACCAAAACATATATAAAAAAAGAATTCTGTAAATCGGTCCACCAGGACCGGAGGTACCACGTAACACACATAAAAATAGACGAATTGAGTACCTCATTCTTTTGGGAAGTCAGTCAAGAAAAGCTAAACCGTAATAATTGGACAATTTTATAAATTAATTTTCCAATTAACCTAAGCATTACTAAGGCTCAGAACATAAGCACATAACTTATTGTTTTACCGGTCAATGATTTCATTTTGCTTCTAAATTGTACAATTTAACAGAAGCGACATAAAGTTTGGTAACACCTTTAAAGCAAATTCTACCGCCTTAGAACCTTTAGCATTGCTGTTTCGTCAGTGCCGTATCTTAAGTTTAAAAGCGTTTGAAAACTTAAAGTTATTAGCATGAAAAGCTTAACGCTGACGCTTTGCATAAGCAACGTAATATTGTTTGCATAATGCTGTTTATGCATTTGCAAACACTGACTCACCTTGCACATTTTACAGGAACATGAGAGATAAAAGGCGGGTTTTAATCACACTCAAAGACGTTAAATTGTAATTAATGAAGTAATAAAAGATGGAAGAAGAAATAGACACTTTTTTTTCACTACTTTTTCAATATAATATCAGTCCCTTCAAATTTTTTGTAACCTGTTTTGCAATCTAGGTAAATATAGGCGTAATACTTTTTTCTTGACTCTGGCAGCTCGTTGAAGTGATAAAGCAACTTTAAAACAAAGAAACATTAGAAAAGAGTTTCTAGGTTAAATCTTTTTTACTGTTTTAATTTTGTAAGGCGTCTTAACTCAATTACTTTTAGGCGATTGCTTTGGGAAATGACTTTTATAACAAAAGTCAGGGAGTTATGAATTTCTTACAATTGGGCTTTATTTAAAGACGTTACTAACTTTCTTTTTGTGAACTCTGTACTTATAATACTGAATTATTTATTAAGAGCGTTCACCATTGACTAAACTATCGCACAGTTTAGTCTCACTATGATCCTTATGAGCTATGGAGGTGCACACAACTCGTTTTTTAGTTGTGCAACTAAACAGTTGAATTGGCTGCGAAACAATCGACAGTCAACCAACAGTTGGACTATAATTTAGACAAAGGTATTTGTCCGCTTTAGACTTAATTCCTTTGTTCAAGAAAGTTTATTTGCGTCAAAATTAACATAAAAACAAATGACACCTTTTAATCTGTGTCTGCAATAGTTGTTAAATAATTTATATTCTTTCAGAAAATAAAAACTTTTAAGACCTTTTTAACAGTGGTAGTGCCCGCTTTAACGTCTTAGCACGAATAGGCCGGCACACCCGGTGTAATACCACGGCCACACAGAAGACAAGCATGAAATGAAAGCAATTCTGTGTTTCGTCTGATGAATGTGGTGCTGGAGGCCTAATTTAAATCCCTTTCTCTTTGCCGACCTTTTCTTATGAGAGGATGGCAAGGGGAAGTGGATATGACGATGGAGGAGATGCATAGGAAGGGGAATATCCTCTTTATGTGCGTCTCCTCCTCCGTCGATTAATGGTAGGTAACGCATCTGCAACTGCGGATGTCTATGGGCGGCGGTCCTTCGCCATTTTGGCGGATTCAGGTGGCCTTGGAAAAAAAGGCCTGTCCCACCACTGACTAACAGAGGTTCAGATAGTTTATAAATGACGTCATTGTCAGATACAAAATTCGATATTACCATCATATTTTACACGTTGGATTGTTATCAGACAATTTACAATTTGGTGGGACAGACCTTTGAAATTATTTTCTAGTTTTCAATCTGTAATCCGGAGTCATCGGATATCGGTCGTGTGGAGTCTTATATAATTTGAGAATCTTTTCCTTACGTTTCTCATTCGCTATGCAAAGGTCCGTGTGATTTGGGATAACGTGATTTGAAACGTGGGGATATCAAAAAGTCGTTTGGAAGACATTGCTGATATGTTTGAATGCTATATATGATTTACTAGCTTTCGCTCGCGATTCCGTCCGCGTGGAATTAAACAAAAACAAAAGTAAGTAGCCTATGTGTTCTTCCAGACTATCTTCTACGTCTGTACCAAATTTCGCCAAAATCCGTTCAGCCGTTTAGACTACAAACTCTAACAAACATCCATCCATCTAAACTTTCACATTTATAATATTAGTTAGAAGTTAGACTAGATAGTTACATTTATTACATTGAAATGATAAAGAATTTACCTATTATCTTAATATTCTTTATAATTTTTATGGGTTTTGCGAATATTACGTGAATTTATATATATTCTAAATTAATTTCAAAACTTCTATAACGTAAAATCAACGCCGGCAATATAATTATGGTATGAAAAGGTTACATATGTTTATTTTAAACTGATGATATGATGATGATGATGTTTTAACTAAAATGTATTTGACACATTTTAAATTTCATTATCGTAGGATTCTTTAATTTTAAAACACAGTCTATCACATATTCTAAATGTTCCAAAAACATATCATACTAATACTATAAATGGGAAAGTTTAGATGGATGGATGTTTGTAGCCTAAACGGCTGATTGGATCTCGGTGAAATTTGGATATGATGTAGAGGATAGTCTGGAAGACCACATAGGTTATTCAATTTTGTGTCTTATAATTCCACGCAGGCGGTCGCAGATGAAAGCTAGTTTATTGTGAATGCGAAAGTTTAGATGGATGGATGTTTGTTAGAGTTTGTAGTCTAAACGGCTGGTCGGATCTCAATTAAATTTGGCGTAGACGTGGAGAATATTCTTACTAAAAAAAGATTTATCTTTTTTTAATTCCACGCGGACGTATTCGCGGGCGAAAGCTAATTTTATGTTAAAACATTTCGTCTGAATAATAAAGTTCCGTTTTATGTCAGTATATCTTTACATACATAATACAATTTGTGTCATGTTTTCAGTAAATGCGACACGTACATGTATCGTATGACTTGAGACCTATAACCTCGTTAGGGGAAGACACAACAGAAGTTTGAAAGATGATATATAAGAGAAAATTGCTACACGATATTTCGTACGGAACCCAATAAGCGATCTTTAAGATCGATATCAGTGTTATGCGTGCGTGCCTTCGTAACTAAATATGTAGATATTACGATTCTTAGTTTAATCCCAGCTCCCTCGACTACCCCCACGATTAGCAAAAATGGATTGATTGGCTTCAGCCACAAATCAATATTGAACAGGATTCTTATAATTGTTTATGTAAAAAACATCTATGGTAGAAAAAAGTGTAGAGTTTGGGCAGATAAAAGAAGTTTCTGCGCATAAGTGTCTTAAAATATTCGGGTTCATATTTCTATGCTAATGTATCCGATTCTTTATTTTACGACGTATCGAATATTCTTATTTATACGTATCTACCACATGGTACCTTTCATCGTAAATTTATTCAATAACTAACTCTTAGGCATTTTTTTATGTATTTACTATACTAATATTATAAAGAGAAATACTTTATTTGTTTGAATGTGATGAAAAAACGCAAAAACTGGGCCGATTACAAATTCTTTCACCATTATAAAGCTACGTTGTCAGTGAGTAGCATAGGCTATTTTTTATATTACTTTTTAATTTCATGCGGACGGAGTCGCGGGCGAAAGCTAGTCTTTAATATAGATATACTGAATATTAAGATAATATTGTTACGCTCAAAATAACGGAATCAAGTTCTTGAAATCGTTGTATTCACAATTTGTATTCTGTCCTGGCATTTTACTTTGTTTAATTTGTACATAAAAAGTCGCGGTTGAGTTGATTATGTCTTCTCCAAACACAGAAACCTCTTGGCATTAATCCAAGAGCTAAGTAAATCAAAAGGCACATTATGCTAACAACGCCATCTAGCGGCCTCGTAGACCTCGTAAAATTATATCACGACTTTAGAACAATATTACTAGGTTTTATTAAAGAAATATTAAACAAAAGAATTACGACATATTTATTTACATCTTAAAATATAAATATTAGTTTCCAAAGACACTAAAATTTAATAATAATGAAAAACGAAATTCTCCTTTATCAGTGTTTTTAAAGATATTTTGAGTAAATAATAGAGTTGCAAAACTACAACAGACCAGCAACTGAATACAAAAAACAAGCTCTAAAAATCAAATGTCTCTTTTCTGAACTACAAAAAATAAAAACTTCTTTTTTTATAGTATAAGGTGGCAAACCTCTTGATGTGCGTCTCCTCCTCTGTCGGATAAGGGTAGGCAACGCATCTGCAGTTGCGGATGTCTATGGGCAGCGGTCGCTTCGCCATTTTGGCGGATTCAGGTGGATGCTTGCTGGTTTGCCACCTTATGTTATAAAAAAAAAAAACGAGCAAACGGCCATCTGAATCCACCGAAATGGAGAGCGACCGCTGCCCATAAACATCCGCAGTTGCAGATGCGTTGCCTAACATTAATCGACGGAGGAGGAGACGCACATAAAGATTACATTTCCTCTGCCTATGCGTCTCATCCACCGTCAAATCCACTTTTCCTTCCCATCCTTTCCTCTTAAGACAACGGTGGAAATGAAAAGGGACTAAAATTTGGCCTCCGGCACCACACTCATCAGACGAAACGTGGAATTGCTTCCACTTCACGCCTGTCTTCTGTGTGGTCGTGGTATTGCACCGGGCGAGCCGGCCCATTTGCGAAGATGTAAAAGCGGGCTCTACCACTTCTAGCAGTGTAAAAGGAAAGATAAAAAATAGCGTAAACTATAAGGCATTTTAAATGAGGGAAATGTGCAAAAAGCACTACAATATTCATACCTTAATGCAATGAAATTTGCATTCACTGTATGTAAAAATAAAATTTAAAAACAACACTCTGCCGTCGTTAAATGAACAGATAGAAAGAAAGTAAACAGAGATAATTTGACATGATACTGACATATAAATTGAATAATAATTACTTACACGATAAATAATTAGACCGTGCGACTTTGACTAAAGTGTCGCACAACTGTCTAGTCT